TTTCTTTGGTTGGTATATTTATAATTATCATGTTTATAGGCGTGTGTATGCAAAACGAATCAACGAATGAACAGAGTGACAGAAAAAAAATAAACTTTCATCATCATTCTAACATCGTAACAATTTTTTTGGAGCGACAAAAATTTAATATGATCTCATCGGATATGCGGAACTTTTTTTTTCACTGGCCAATTTTTTGCTGGTTTCATGTATCCACACACACACACACACACTATAGTAATATATTTGAATTTTATGATTATATTATTATGTAATGAAGCCTTAATATATAATAATGAAACCAAAACCATATGATGATAATAATCATAATCATCATAGATGATAATCAATTGTCCTGTTTGGGTAGAAAAAAAAACACCCACTCTCATCAAAGGCTGGTGGATGATGATGATGATGAACGATCTTCGATGGCCCCGGTACCAATTGGGCGCTAACCGATGATATGATCATAGGAAAAGGCGATGTGTGTGTGTGTGTGTGTGTGTGTGGTTACACTATAATATTAAGAGAGAGAGAGAGCGAGAAAAAAACGAATATCGTACGCTCTAATTGAATTGATTGATTAATCACGCAACTGATCGATACTAATTTAGTCTTTTTTTCTGTTTTTTTTTCTCTCATTCGCTTGGTTGGTTGGTTGCTTTTTTTTCTTGTTCAATTTCTAGCTTTACTTTTAATACGTTTTTTTACGCAATCTTGAATTTTGATACCACTTTTGTGCACATCATCATACAAACACGGCAAAAAAACGGTTAAAATGTATACCGATTGTATTTAGTGAATGGCAACATGGAAAAAAAGCCGGATCTCTTCAATTTCTTGATTTTTCTTTTCTTTTTGAATGTTGAAAAAGAATCGGTGCAATTTTGGTTTGGATACAATTGACAATATTCGCATATAGTCAATGATAACGAAAAGAACGAGAGAAAAAAAAACCTTAATCTAATTATTGCTTTGTTCTGGTTTTCCGGGCTACAGATTCTCTCTGTGGATTCTAGTGTGAGCAACAATACAGAATCAAGCGTAGTTTTCTTTCAACTAAATGAATAAAATAAGTGTGTGTATTTGTGAGTTTCAATGAAAAAAAAAAAAAATTTTTTCATTTCAGATGTTCAATCAAGAGCTCTAAATTAATGTTTGTGTGTGTGTGTGTGTTGTATTGTGTGTTTGGTTTTTCATCATTTTTCATATTGGTCCGGTTATTATCATTATCCGTCTTGTATATAATATATATCATGTATTGATTAATTATGTCAACTTTGTTTCGATTGAATTGGTGGACAAATATTTTTTTTTTCGGGTGACAAATTTGTTCCGACATCTCTGTTGTTTTGTGTGTGTGTGTGTGTGTGTGGCTATTTTTTTTTTTTTTTTTTTTTTGTTATGATCAATTCGTTTTTTTTCCACTCTTCGGGAGCCGTAGCCCAAAGCCAGAATAGAACGTGAGGTCACGTTCAATGTGTTTTCTATTTGTCATCCTTTAATACAAAGTACAATACAAATGAATACGTTATTTTGAAGAATGGTTGTTTGTTTGTTATCCAAGACCAAAAAAAATAACTAACAATTTTTTCCCATCAAAATCATTTAAGCTATGGCAAAAAAAATGATGATGATAATAATAATGATCTGGAAAATAAGTCTGGATCAGAGCAAGAGAGAGAGAGAGAAAAAAAATAAAATGAAAAATTTGAGTTTTGTAGATTAAATCGAATCGCGAATCGAGTAGAAGAAAAAAAAATAAAAAGTTTCTGTATCATCTCGTTTATCCGGTTATTTATCTATTTATTGATTAATAATATATATCTAGGTTGTTGTTGTTGTTGTTGTTGTAAATCAATTATAAACTACATCGATGATGATAATGTTCATATAAAGTGAGATTTTTATTTTGTACGCTTCTACTTTTATCTATATATATATAGATAAAATATATATGGTCCAACTACCAAACTAAACAAAACAAAAAAAAAACAGAAACAGTAAAGAGATTATTTCAAGATTTGATTCATAATAAACACACACACACACACACACACACACACACACACACACAGTAATTCAACCACCTCATATATATATGAGAGATATCACAAAAAAAAAAAAACAAAATAATAGTTTTTTTTCTATTTTGAATTGTTGTTTGTGTGTATGTGAAAAAATAAAAGTTTCATTCTGGTAGATTTTCACTATTATTGTTGTTGTTGTTGTTGTTGTTGTTGTTGTTGATAATATTATGTTCATCATCATCATCAACAACAACAACAAAGTCAAACTGGGTATTGTGTATCTAGGCTTTAGTGTGTGTGTGTGTTTTTTTTTTCGTTTCTTGTTTTTGTTTTGTTTTGATTCTGTATGATGATGATGATGATGATGATGGTTCAAGAATCTAGATTGTATTGTTCTCTCTCACTCTCACACACACACACAGTATGTGTAAAAGAAAGTATATTAAAACGAATATAAAACGAGTTGATTTAAAGACAAAGCTGCTAACAGACCAGGCAAAAAAAAAAAATTGATGCTACTGATGTTTGGTTCGTTGATTACAGCTGTAGGAATTATTATCATTATCATTATATTATTATTATTATTATTATTGTTTTTATTGTTGTTGTTGATGTCATTCTCATCATCTACGAATTTTTGATTCATAAAGAGCAATGAAACTAAAATCTTTCTGTCTACTACCATACTTCCTCTCGCGATTTTAATCGCTAAAAGTGTGAAAGTGAAAGAGAAAAAAAATATATAACAACAATATCTTCAGCATTTTTTTTTTTTTGATGATGCTGTCTTTTTTTTTTTTTTGGTTCCTGATTCTTGATTCAAAATACATTCATTTACTCTTTCGGTACATTTTTTTTTTTCGGGACTAAATTTTCATTATTTCACGAACGAGCTTTTCTTTTTTTTTTTGTTGTTGTTGCTCTTACTCATCGTTTCTGTTTCTTTCTGAATATAAGTCCATTGGCTAACTTTATTATATTATTATCATCATCAGTATACATAAATGTTACCGCATCATACACACACACACACATTCATTTACGTATACACTTGATCCAAATGGATATAGTATATATTGAATGATGAATACAACGACAGTAAAAAGCAGATAAACTTTGTTTGTGTGCATCTGTGTGTTTATATGTCACCAAACGAACCCAAAACAACAATAGTTTTTTTTTTTTTTTTTTTGGTTTATTTTAGGATCTCCCATTCATTCGGGTATCTGTAATTTTGGAGGTTTTTTTTCTGCCATTTCTTTCTTTTTCACACATTCATTTATTCTTTGCAACATTGAGTTTTCATATGTATGCGTCAGCTGCTTCAATCGCTTTATTTTTATCATCATCATCGTCTGCTAGAGATTCTCTTGTTTCATTTTCTATCCATCCATTCATTCACTTCAGATGTGTTAATTTAGTTTTACCGAATTACTTCATTTCAAATATATAAACACATTTACTGACTGAATGAATGAATGACTGACTGACGCCTTTGGATTCACTTGGACAATAGTAGATTTTTATTTATATGGGGGTTCTTTCTTTTGCTTTTGTTATGAGAATAATTTCTGTTAGTTTGCTAGTACGCACATCATCCATTCTATTCATTTATTTGTTTATTTTCTCACTTTATTTTCATTTTTCATCAAGTTCTATTCTTCATTCTTTTTTGTCGGACGGTTTGTTCATGACGATGGGTGGGGTGGGGGGCTGCAGAAAAGGAAATTTTACACATAGAAAAAAATGAATAAATGTTTCGCCAGAGCAAAAATGATACATACGTATGTAGAAAAGTTTAAAGTTGATAATATGTCAACATTTTTTGTAAAATTCTTTCTTGTCTTTTCTGTTGATCACTTACTTAACTTCTATTCATTTCATTTCATTCTATTTTTGAACAATAATTTCATAATTTGATTTAGAATTTCTTCTTTTTTTTCTCTCATGTTTTTAAAGGTTAATTATTCTCATTTTTTTTTTTTTTTGGTTAGTAAGCATACGCCCATCAATGCATGATTTGTTATTTTCTTTTTCACGGAATGAATGATAAAGAACAAGAAAAGGATCAATCTTTATTTTTTTTCTAGTAATCTCAGTTCATGTATGTTTAACATGTCAAAATATTTTTTTCTTGTTCTAATTTATACTGTAGCAATACTAGTCGATTGGTTCGAATCCAATTGGTCGAACCGGTTCGTTTATTCATCGTCATCGACGGCTGTCGTCAATACGTCGGAATCGCCACATTGAACAATCATGTATACAGAATGTAATAAGTGTGTGTGTTTGTGTGTGTTTGATGAAATATTAGTAGTTAGAGAACCAAGAAAAGGGAAAAAATGGAAAAAAAAGTTTCTTCGTTGTTCGATCCGTTTCTGGATCGAGAAAACGTTAGAATCAAATCCACACATAGTGTCGACATGTGAAAAATCGATCATAATTATTAGTCCTCCTGTCGTCGTTCGTCATCATTCATACGTAAGTCCAATAAGGCAATTGGGTAAAAACAACGATAACGACGACGACGACGTCAGGTTCAAAGATGACCTAGAATTATTATATAATTTTCTCTACTAATACTTGCAACATTTATTACGATTTTATTCTAAGCTTTAATACGACAATTTATTATCGAAAACTAGAATTTTGGACAATAATAATAATAAATGATGATGATGATGATGATTTCGATTTCTTTTTATGATTGGATTATTACAATTTAAAGAGAATGGTCATTTCGACAGCAATGATTAACTCTTTTTGGCGTTTTGATTTGCTTTTTTTTCTTTGTTTAATTTTTGTTTCAAGATTTTTCATGTCAGATTAGTTATCTAACAGAATTCACTACTTTTATTTGTAAAGAACCACTCCTAAAGAGTCATGAATGGTTATAAAGCAATTTTTTTGATTTATATACAAGATATTTAAAAAATTCTAAATAAAAACAATGAAAAATTCATCACTTACTAGCACGAATATGGACATCTTGGCTTTGAATGGAACCAACGGGATTTGTGGCCACACAACGTACGATACCTGAATGGACATCTTGCCGATAAGCGGTAGCTACAAACGGTACATATACAAGTTGTGTCGTAAGTAAATCTTTACGTATTTGACGTAATCCAGGTATCTGTAATAATGGTGTTCCATCAGCACGTATCCATGTGATTGTTGGTGCTGGTATTCCTGTTCATACAATGCACAATTTTTGTTAATTTATTTTTTCCACTAACATTCTATATCAAAATTAAAAAAAAAAATCAATTTACCTTTGGCACTGCAAGTTATAATACTGCCGGTATCATTTAAAAATATCACCGAACTAGGTGGTTCAACCAAAAATTCTGGTCCACGTTTTTCATTATTATGATTATTGATCAAAGTTTTCGATGATGAAGGCAATGATGATGATGATGATGATGATGATATTGATTGTGATGACAAACTGTTTGTTATTGTTATTGTTGATTGAGCTATAAAAAAAATACGAAAAATGAATGAATGAGATGAAAAAAAAAATAAAAATATCCGTTTACATTGATATTATGTAAACACACACAAACGCTTATTGTAGAGAATATAATATAAAATTCATTGATTCTATAGGATTTGGAATTGGTTTTTTTCTCCAAAATTGTTTTTTTATTTCTTATTTTGAATCGTTTCATTTTTTTGTTCATGTGTCTCTGTGTATTTATGATGTGTGTGTGTGTACACTATTTTGACCATGATAGACCATAACAATTTTGCGTTCGATTAATGATATGATTATTGTAAAAAAAAACATTTGAACGATATGGATGGTAACAAATAAATAAATAAAAAAATATTTATTTACGACGTAAATAAATAATATTTAAGCTCATTTCGTTTCATTCATTTCATTTCATTCATTCGTTCATTCATCCTTAGAATAGAGAACTATCGGTATTTATCAGCAGCAGCAGCAGCAACAACAACAACAACAACAACCAAGAGGATTTTCCATCATCACTTCCTTCATTATACACCCCGTTAAACCTTTGTGATGTTGGATCCATAAGATTTCTGTGTTGTTTCGATTGCAAACGTTTTTTGTTGTTGTTGTTATTATTATTATTGATGATGATGAAGAAGAAGATAATTTTACCGTTATAAGCGGATTATTTCTATACGGTCGTTTCTCTTTCTCTCTCTCTCTCTCTCTCTCGTTGCTCGTATTTTACCCTGTTATACCATTGCCATTTCATCATCATCATCATCATCATAATCATAATCATCATTGAATAACGTCTTCCCTTTTTTTTTTTTTTCATAGATATTCTATGGTTTGATTCCTTAGTAGTACATATAATAATAATAATAAAATCATTCAAAAACCTCGATATATAGCTCAATATAATCATTATTGTCATTATATATTATATATTTGATAAAATGTGGATAAACATGGATGTAAACAAACTATAAAACAAAACAAAACAAAAAAATTACAATAATCTATCCATTTCAGCATAGATGACTGTGTATTTAGTAGATTGTTTGTTTGTTGATAATCCACACAAGAATTTTACAATTTTTCCTCTCAATTCATGAACAATATATGGATTGATGATAAATTTTTTTTTTGTTCTTTTCAATTATCCAATTTGAACAGAGAGTAGTTTGAATTGGACTATAAATTTATTTATTATATTAAAAAGAAAAAGGTAAATTGAAACGCCCATCAATGCTCATAAAGTATTGAACATTAAACATTATTGAATGGATGTGATGTCAATGAATTTTTTTTTTTTTTTTTTTTTTTGGTTTATAAAATTGAATTTTCAAAAAGTTTTTTTATACATTGTCACCATTTTTTTGTTTCCAGGTTTCAACCAAGCGTTATAATGAAAATAATTTAAAAGCCACACACACACACACACACAAACAGATACACTAGGTTTGTTGATCAATTCTGATTCTTGACATTGTGATGCTTGACAAAGATTTTGTGGTATAAAAAAAAATGGCTCATTCTCATGACATTGTTAACTCTCTTTCTCTCTCTCTCGATTTCCATTAACATAAATATTCAATTAATTTTTTCTGTAAGTTTTGTCGGATTTTTTTTACCCCAACTATGATGCCATAATATTTGTGGCTTGTTTTTTGATGGAATTTCATTCTTTTGTATTATTTTGGCTATGTGATGATCATCCGATGATCATGGCAGCAGCGGCTGAGTGTAATCATTCGAACGCGGATGAATCGGTTTTTGAGAGCATTGTGTTTAATATTGCAAAGTTTTTTTTCCTCAGTTAAATAATAAGAATTGAACTTTTTTTTTGAAAAAAAAATTGAAAATCACAAAACTTTTTGCTTTTATTTTTTACTCCATTATTACATTGTCTCAATGGCTCATTCTATAAATGTATGATGATGATGATGATGATGATGATGATGATGAGGATAAGGATGTCATGTCATATATGATAGTGAGTGTGATCGATTGCCTAGTCTTATTTCCTTTCATTTTTGATTTTATTCAAAATTTTTGATTAAAAAAAAATTTGTATCATATCATGTAATTTTCAATCATCAATTCTCTTACCAATATCAATGACCGTTGCTAATATTATCAATAATGCCAATATTCTATGTATTTGATAATGTTGTTGTCGTATTTCGTTACAAACATTTGAATATATTTGATTATTTTTGATCATTTTTTTTCTTGCTTGTTTGGTTGTTGTTTTTTGGTTTTCATATATATATGATAAATGAAAATGACAAAAATTCCAATCGTTCATCATTCAGCAGATGAATTTATTCATTTTTCTTGTTGTCTTTTTGTTGTTGTTGTTGAAAATTTTTCAATTTCATTATAATTAATTGTTGTTGTTTGATATTGATGATGGTTAATGATGATGATGATTCTTGTTTTGCATAATTTATCAAAAAAAAAAAAAAAAAATTCTTCAAGGTTCTTTTTCAATGTGATGATAAAAATGTAGATGGATGTGCACAACAAGAACCATGTACCAGTGAGAATATATGTTTACAATTCAATATTATATGTGGATATATAAATAAAAACAAAAAAAGATGGATAGAGTTGTTTTTCGATGAACTATTGAATAAACAAAAAAAAACACTCTCAGTTTTAATGAAATAATAAACGTAACGTAAAATAACAACAAAACGGTGGCGGTGAAAAAAAAACAAATGTGACCGGAATTTTTAACCACCTGGTTTCCGTTCATACGAAGTGAATATAAGTGAGAAAGAGAATAAAAAATTCTGACGTTTTTTCATGTAAATGGATGAAAAATAGACATAGATAGAGAGTGAGAATAGATGAATGGTTTTCAGTACACACAAACATACACAAACACGTAAATGACAGACGAAATTTCACCAAATCCAACTGTATTTTGGTTTTCCACTGGTCAATAGCAACCAAAGATTCAACTGTTAGAATTGGCACTTTTTCGACTAGCAATAAATTGGCCAAAATTATTTATTCATCATATCTTGAATGTATGTTGTATACATTTTATTTAATAACAAGCTTCTCGTAACAAGTTTATTAGTTCTAATATAAATATAATATAGTTATATATCATCATCATCATAGGTACAACACACCGATGTAGTTATATTCTCTCTCTCTTTTTTTTCCTATAGGTCAAATGAAATTGGTAGTGTTTTGGCTGAATTCAATTTATCAAAAAAAAATATATGCTCTAATCATTATGATAACACAAAATGAACAAGACCTTGGTATCTATAGATGAAAGGAAAAAAAAGAATATATGATTCGCCGTTTATACACAAACAAAATACACATCACAACAGAAAATTTGTTTCTGAATACCAAAAAAAAAAAAAAAAAAAAAAAATGATGCAGGTAAAATTAATCATAGAATACACTGACACTGAATAACATGAATGAACAAACTAAAGAAAATATTATCAAATGTGATAGTGAACGGAAAAACGAATGAAAGACGCAAACGATATCATCATAATTCATGTTCCAAACATAAACTGAACGTTCAATATGCCAAACGAATTTATTTTCCATTTCATGTTAGGCGCCAATAAACCTAAATAGTGCCAACATCAATAACAATAACAACAAAAATGAATGAATGAAGTAAACGAAACTGAAACTTCAGAAAAAAAGACCGGGTATTTCGAAACATTGTGACGGCGCGATCCAATATCCATGTATGTTCAAATACACTGCGTGATTCGTTTGAGCTTCAACACAACAACACCACTAGCAAAAAAAAAAAAAATTATTTTCGTCTTTAGAACCGGACTATCGGATGAAAATTGTCGGCGTGGTTTAACCAAAATCTAGCAGCATTTTGGTTAGTTATTGGGTACTAGATGGTTTACAATACACCAGAAAATTTTTTTATTATTTTCCTGAACATAAAATTCATTCTGTTGGCCCAGTGATTGACACAAATGATACACACACATGTACACAACACCTTAACCAACGATATATTCTCCTGTTTTTTTTTTCTTAGTGCAAATTCTTATCATTCAGATTAGATGAATGTATTGATTTTTTTTTCTTTTGCCTTGACACCATAATATGTTTGTTCAATGTTCGTTTTTCATCAATAATTTTCTTTTTCTCGTTTTATTACTTTTTTTTCAAAATCTTAATCTCATACGGTATAGGTATCCAATGCAAAACATATAGACCATAACAGAATTCATCCAAAAAAAACGTGTGTATCTATTATATCAAATCAATCTATTTTGAACCTGAAAATTTTCTCACTATAGTTTTTTTTGGTTTAATATATATATATTTTATATATTCAGTGTTTACATGGCGATTATAACCAAGATTCTACATTCTGGTTTTGTGTGATAATAATAATAATCTCTTTTTTCTGGTTAACTCTCTTGTTATAGCAGAAATAATGTAACCACGAAAAAAAATGAAGAAGAGAAGAAAAAAATTACCAAAATAAAAAAAAATTTGATTGCGTGATCTAGTCGAGTTTTTATTATTATTATTATGGTTAAGGTTTTTTGGATTTTTTCATGGCTCACTTCGATTCTTTAGTGTTGGTCATGGCTTGTGTTTTTTTTTATATTTATATACAATCTTTATTTTCAGTTAGATGAAAATTCAATTGAATTTAACCACACACTATACCATGCCAACAGAATTGACCATCATCCATATATATACACAAATTTAATGCCGTTTTTTTTTGGTGTTGTTAAACTGCCATCGTTTGCTTGTTTTTTTTTTTTTTGGTTTTCTTCTTCCTCTTTTTTTCCAAAATAGATAGATCGATTTATTGAAAAATCCAAGGTAAAAATGTCAGTGAATCTCTCTCTCTCCCTCTCTCTTAAAAGATTGATAATATTTTGATCTAATAAAATTAAAAAGAAAAATATAAAAGACGATCCAATGATTAGATC